TCAATTGAGTGGAACTCGTCACTGTACATCAACTTTATTGATTATGAAAAGGCATCTGACAGTGTAGATAGGAGAACGTTATGGAAACTTCCTCTACACTACGGAGTTCCTGAGAAGATGGTCAATATTATCCGGAACTCATACGATGGACTACAGTGCAAAGTAGTGCATGCAGGACAACTGACAGATGCATTCCAAGTAAGGACCGGAGTCAGACAAGGCTGTCTACTCTCTCCCTTCCTCTTTCTTCTGGTGGTCGACTGGATTATGAAACTTCGACATCTGAGGGAAGACACGGAATACAATGGACAGCTCAGAACCAACTAGACGATTTGGATTTTGCAGATGACCTAGCCCTCCTATCCAATACACACGAACAAATGCAGACAAAGACAGCCAGCATAGCAGCAGTCTCTCATCAGTAGGCTTCAACATACACAAATGGAAAACCAAGGTCCTCAGATACAACACGGAGAACAGTAATCCAATCACTCTTGATGGCGAAACTCTGGCAGAGGTGGAATCCTTCACATACCTAGGAAGCATCATCAATGACCATGAAGGATCAGATGCAGACGTAAAGGTGAGGATAGGCAAAACAAGGGTCGCATTTCTACAATTGAAGAACATATGGAACTCAAAACAACTTTCAACCAATATCAAAGTCATAATGTTCAATACGAACGTCAAGGATGTTCTACTGTACGGAGCTGAAACTTGGAGAACTACAACAAACACCATCAAGAAAGTACAAGTATTTATAAATAGTAGTCTACGCAAGATACTCATCATCCATTGGCTGGATACCATCAGCAACAGCCTTTTGTGGGAGAGGACAAACCAGCTTCCAGCTGAAGAGGAAATTAGGAAAAGACGATGGAAATGGATAGGATATACATTGAGGAAATCATCAGACTGCATCACGAGACAAGCGCTAACTTGGAATCCTGAAGGGAAGCGGAAAAGAGGAAGGCCGAAGAACACATTACGTCGGGAAATAGAAGCGGATATGTAAGGGATGAATAAGAACTGGAAAGGATTGCCCATGACAGGGTTGGATGGAGAATGCTGGTGAGCAGCCTATGCTCCTTCGCAAGGAGTAACAGGCGTAAGTAAGTTAAAACTTATGACTTACAAGTTGAAAACTAATTATTTTAACTTATAATCCACTGCTCAATAGTGAATGAATCTAAATCATAATGGTTCAGTCAGTCAGCTATAACGTAGGACCAGGCACATATATACATCGGTCCAAGTTCCCATACCTCATTAACACAACAAGATGAACACCGGATTCATAGTAGTTAAGTTAATGGTGGCAATATATAAAAGAAAGATCGCATGTAAGGAGAGAGAGTGTATACACCGACGCCATTGTGATCGATTCTGAGCCATGTCACTCAGAGTCTCCAACCATTGGATACGATAGTCATACGCACCCCAATAAAATAATTTGCAGCTACCTACATGGCTGAGACTAGAATTTAGTGAGTTCAAGCACTGATGCCACGTTTTGGTTTGGCCATCCCTAACTTCCTTCCAACTATTCCCAACACTAATCAACATTGCGAGTCGTAGTAATCGGTGTTCAGGCATACGCAATACGTGGCTCAACCATCTCTGTCGATGAAGATTCACAACCTCATCAACTGCTTACGAGTATCTTCTGCCCTGAATGGTCACGTTTCGCAGCCGTAAAGTAGAACAGAATGAACTGCTGCAAAGTATACTTGTCGTTTAATTGATAGGCGGATATCTCGCCTAAGCCATAGGTGACGTAAGTTGGCAAAAGCCAAACGAGCTCTTCGAATCCGTGCTGAGATTTCGTCAGACATCAACGCATTAGGGCTGATCGGACTTCCAGCATTGTCGGACGTCGATAAGTATGCTTGGGTTCTGGAACCTGACTAATGGTGAATATGTGGTCTATGCATCCACGACCAGGTCTGAAGCCAGCGTGATTTCCTCGTGTTTGCAGTTCACGAGTCTTAGTTGGGCGTCCGATAATTATTGAGACTAGTATTTTAGATGCTAAACTCCTACCAGGGTAGACATCCAAGTAGTACCACCAGTTCTCAAATAAAGATATATAGCCTAATATAATGGCTTAATACACGAAACTGCAATCGACTACCACGTTTTGAACAAGTTCAGAAAGCTTTTCGTGAAAATCATCTTTCACTTCATCAGGGCTGCAGTCAGTGAAAGCGTAGGCAGAAACAACGAGAATATAACGACTTGTGTCCCCATCCTTCCGAGTTCTTACAGAGCCATTTAGCCGAACACCACATAGACGACTGTTTACGGGGATCCACTCTACTAGTGCTTGTTCCGCCCTCGTACTTAGTGCTATGCCTACACCTGCCAGTCCACGAGCCATCGGGTCGCCAGATACACGGAGGGTGTATCTCGTCAGCACTCCGTTTCGGCGAGGTGAGGTCAAGTGAATGACCACACTAGGATCCTGTGTGCGTGTTTCGGAGACACAGCATACATCAATAGTACGAGATTCTAGAGTCTCAGCCAAGCAGGTCCGCTGGCAGATTTGACATAGGGTGCATACGTTGAAGGTTCCAATGTGTATTTGGAGCAAGGTTTCAGTAGACCTGGGACAGTTTCGCGCACTAGAATCGTTGGCTATGGTGACACTTGAGGAGGAAGCCAAGAGAGGAATTTTAGTGTTGAAGGTCGATGTAGGAGGAATAATAGGAATTGAAGAGGGGGTTGATTATGAATACAGCGGTCTTGAATTCTGTTGGAAGTATGAAGGCGGTTATCACGTCCCGGTTACCCAAAACTTGGAAGAGTTCTTCTGGAGGTACCTGTAAAGGAAATTGGTTTAGAGGTGGTCTTAGTGACTGAGAGCGTGACCGCAGTGCGCAAGAGACAACTGCTTGAGGTCGGTCACACACGACCTTTTTGTAAGCAATTTTCGTGTTAGCTCCATACTTGTAGAGACCTTACCTCCGGAGACGCATATCCGTGGGGTGTGTTTTTTGGGGTCGATCTTTCCTAACTCCACCCCTTCTTGTGGGAAGGCAGCATCGCTGTTATGCTGGTTGTCTGAAGGAAACACCTTACTGCTGTCACACCTCTGTACAGTCAGCAGTACGACTTCGCCTTCGGACCTCGGGTTTGTTGCTTCTAGTCTTACCGTTCTTCAACCGACTTATCTGGCATGGTAGGACTTTGAGGAACGATTGTTCCAGCCAGTATAGCTCGATTAGTTCATCACGATAGTCGAGCCCGACCACCACGCCAAGGTAGCAACAACGGTCGGGAATCATGATGGTTAATTTGTAAACTTTATCATGTAGTGTTTCTCATTACGCTATGATGACTATATTCAGACAACTTACAATTTTCGAAAATACGTATGCCTTAAAAAATTTACTACATATCTTTCGTCTTAAAAGTTTAGTGATATGTTAGGGACAATAACTGGATTCACAAAACATGTTAAAACTTAAAAAAATAACTTAACAATGTGTATCATAGCGAAACATAATTCAGTTTACTTACATATTGAGCAAATATGTTGCTAACTGTTAATTGATCATTTTTATTATTACAATATAAATGGTTGAAATTAAACATTAACACCGTTGGATGCTGGTTCAGTAGTTTAGAGGTTGAGTATTTACGCACGAAACCGTGGATACGCACTGCTAGGACGAAACAGCTGTCCAGTGCTTCTAGGTTTCCAATGGTGGTCTAACAATGATCGATTCATGATCTCAATAAATAAAAGGAACTCAACAATCTCTACAACCCCATATTGATAATATAAATGTACTTTATTTTACTACAAAATCATTAGTTTATGTTTTATCTAATTCTTCTCTTTCTTTTATATTCATGCATCAATTTACTTCATACTTTTATAAATGAAACCTATACATATTGTTCTAAATACTAACATATCAACAATAATATAAAACAGATAACATCACTAACAACTGGACATACCTATGATGTTATTTTATGTAACTCAACTATTGGTTTACAGTAAATTTACTATGAAAATGTAAGTATTATAAAAAAAAAAGGTTGAACAGCTGTAACTTGATAAACATTTGAAATACAATATTTAACAAATCTAGTATAAATGTTAATCAAGTTGATTAACTTTTTACACTTATATTTACTTTAATTAATTTAATGGATTATTAAAATTTAGTCATAATCAAAAACTAACAATAGTTCAAGAACTATTAAAAACTAGAGAAAACCGGATAATTATTTTGTTCAACAAGCTTTCACAAGCAAAGATGGATAGTGGCTAGCAGTAGAATCCAGGACGCGCGTTTCGTCCTATTGGGGACTCGTCAGCTGGATGTACCTGCATCTCAAAGTTGATGTTCACTCCGAGGTTCGAACCCAGTACCATTCGCTTCAAATGCCATCGCGTCATCCACTCAGCTACTGAGTCCTGATAGATGCAAGTGCATCCAGCTGACGAGTCCCAAATAGGACGAAACGTGCGTCCTGGATTCCACTGCTAGCCACTATCGATCTTCGCTTATAAAAGCTTGTGAATTAAGGCAATATCGAGGCATACGCACAGTATGCACATATGCCAATAACAGACTGATCAATTGCAGTCTTAAAAAACTCAATGGGAAGATACAAGCAAAACAATACCAAATGTTTTGTTCGACGTTTCGAATTTCTTAGCAATATCCACTTAAAATTTTTTAATTTTAGTTAGACAGCAAATGCAATACTTTAAAATCACTTAGTCGAAATGAAACTATGTACATTTCAATTTCAATTGATTCGTCATACAGAGCGGCGATCAAGAAATTCCATCAGTAAATGACTTACAAATTAGTTGGCACCATGAATCCTAACATTCAACTAATAGTTCAAAAAATCTATCTTAAAGTTAATTGCTATTAAGAACAATAACTTGGGAAGTTTTCATAATTATCAAGTAATGAAACATGTGAAAACATTTTTCCTATAGAGTATATATATGATATATACACCAAACTTACATTATTAAGCCATGCATCAGATAATTTTAATGAAGTACTAAATAATTCAATAGCTGAAGTATTTGATTCCAAATTGAAATCTCCAGTAATTATAATTGCATCAGAACCAGTGGATGTCATGCGAACAAATTCCATTATTTCAACTAATTGAGATATTCGATGTCCATTATATTTATCCAACATACGATCTAATTCATAACGAGCAATTAACTTGAATGGAAAAAGAAAGAATAATATTTCGAAAAAAAAAGAAAATTGAGCAACTGAATATGAGTAAATATATGTACACAACAAAGTCGAAATTATCATGGAATAATTAGTTAGTTAATTTGGAAGAAAATAGGATTTGAATTAAAAGGCTTGAGTACCAATTCTAAAAAAACACTATAATTGATCACATTATCCTATTTACAAATTTATTAGTTCAAGTAGTTACCGTTATTGAAAAGTGGTTACTAACTATTATACATGACTTAATGTCGATAAATCAAAGACATGAATATTTCAAGTCAGATACTTGCGATAGTCTATTCAAATAAAAGAACCGTAGAAGCTAGAACTATGTGAAGCCCATATAGTTTGTTCTAGACTCTGGACAGATCAATCTATTCATTCTTCTCAAGCCATATTTTTAACTTGTCACTTATTCACTTATTAATCTGGACTGTGTTTTATATGGTCATATGTGTGCTAATTACTTACCTTACTCATCACATGTCTTATTTTTGGTCTAACTATAAATATCGATCCACACATGGCTAAATGGAGTTGGCACACTCGCCTTCTCCATCGCATGTCATTTCGTTTTGTTTCGCCTTCCGATCAACGATTTTACGAAATATACGTATTCAAAAATTCATTCTCGTATTGCACTTTTTAATTTCGTTACTCATTAACGTGAGTTAAGTCGATGATTATATACGAGGATTGGAGTCAGTCAGTCAGTCAGCTGCAACGTAGGACCATTGTGATCGATTCTGAGCCATGTCACCAAGAGTCTCCAACCATTGGTTACGATAGTCACGCGGACCCCAACCAGGCAGTCTGAATCTTCCAACATGGCTCAGACTAGAGGATTGGAGACGTATATTTCGATGACAAGCAGCAAACGATCTATCTAGAGTCAGATCTCGAGCCACTAAAAAACTAATCAATACATCCCAGTCTCTAAGGTTTCCTTCCATTTTTGTTTATAGTGAAACCTGAAATATGCAGAAAAGTACATCGCGAAACTATCGTAAGGGCTTGTATCGTTTAAAACAAGAATATGATTTGGTCGAATGTACTGAATATTACGAGATAATAAATGTAAATCAGTTCAACTTGTTGATATAGAAAGAAACAAACAGATAATATATAAACTTGTAAAACTTAAAAAGTAATATATTTTGAAATAAAAGTAAATTTGTCATTTAAAACTGTTAGTCTAAAAACAGTGAGGAACATAGGAACCAGAGTCAATAAATTCCCATATGACTTACGGTTAACTAACACGTTAGTCTGATGAAATTCAGCTATTAATAACTTATTGCCACTCTGATCAGGATATTAAATTTGGATAAATGAAGTTTTTTAACATTCAAAAAGTATTTGAGATGCTTTTTCAGTTTATTACTAATTGAATTCTCGACTGATTTACTTTTCTTGACTATAAATTCAGGTTTTAGTTCAACACTACTGACAACATACTTTAACTGTTTAAATAAAAATTTTGACTTAATTTCTATGTTATTTTCAAGTAAAAATCCAAATGTACGTTCAATCAGTGAACACTAGAATTTCCTTTCTTTCTGTTGTTGCTTTACTGAAAATAATCACTCACCAGCACTGGTGAGTACATTATGAACATTTTTCCGAAATCCATAAACACCAGTATAATTACTAACCTCAATATCTAGGTACCACTAATATGAGTTCAGATATCATCATAATTTTACAAAAAGTTTATATTTTTTAACTTTTTAACTGTTTTAACCCATTAAATGGGTCGTGTGACTACAGCATCCAAAATATTGTGATGCAAACCTCATTTTTTGCAGTAGAACTGAAATCACGGAAAAAATATAGCCTTTTACCAGTATACAAAATCCACGACTATCAAAATTGTTGAAGGACACTTCTCTCTTTATTTCAGTAGTATAACAATTGAAAAGAGGAAAATATGTCAAAAGCTTTATATTTGAATGGTAAATCTTAAAAACCTTATTAGACAAATGGTTGTTACAGAACACATAAATCCTTAAAATCATTAGATAATTAAATCATGAATGCTCAAAGAATATTATCAGGAAGGGGTTTTGTGAATATTATAGTAATTTAATAGTTGAGTTCATGAGTCTATTGGAGCTAGACAACCATGAAAAACCTGGAAGCACTGGACGGTCGTTTTGTTCTATTGTGGGACTCTTCACCAGTTTCGAACCCAGGACCTATCGGTCTCGCGCGCAAACGCTTAACCTCTAGACCATTGAGCCACCGTCCACCATTGTCATCAGTGAATTACTATCTCACAACAGACCATGGTGGTCTAGCTTCAATTGATCCATAAACTCAATTACTAAATTACTATAATATCCACAAAATCCCTTTCTGATAATAATCATCATATGCTCACTAGTGACTGGCTTCAAGAGTTATTCCCTAGAGTTCTAGTGAGAAGCAGTGACCAGTGGAGTTCAACCGGTCAAACATTGTTACACACAGACCTTATTCATCAGTAATATACGTTAGAGATAAAATAATGTTAAATAAATCTACTCACTCGGGGCTTAAGATCATATTAATCTATTAAATAAAACTACACTGTAAATATAGCTATATACATACCTGGCAAATTCGTTAGTAGGCTTATAAATGTATAAATCACACTAAAAATGATTACTTTAGAAAATTGTTATTATTATCATTATTATATAGCTCATCAGTCATATGATATATTGATTATTTGACTAGATACTAATATTAGTTTGATTATGCGAGTAAAAAAGAAAAAAACGATTAAAAAAACTTTGACATTTAACGAAGTTTATTTAGAATAAAAATATAATAATTATTATTGGTACCATTTAGACTTGTGTTAATTTTATTTCGTCTATTTATTTACTTTGAAGAAGTAACTTACATTAAGTTATGAAACGTCAATAGTACAATTTTCTATTTATTGAGATATCACAAAAATATTATTATTATTAATGGCTTTATTCAATATTCTACGTTTAATACAATTCTAAAGTTATAATTCAACAAATTTCCTTTGCAAAAAAAAAAAAACGACAACTGAATACAGACATAAATTAGGTCAATAAACTAAATGAAACATCTTTTAATGAGATTAGGATCTGCATAGCTTTTAATTAGAATCATGTTTAGAAATAAAAACTATTGACAACGTCAGCTCTAACAACCTGTTCTTCACAATATACTTGCTAAGTAAGGTATTGCAGAGCTTTTATATATTCGCTTGCGTGCATGGATTCTAAGGGATGTATTACATAATCCAATAATCATTTCAGTCACCAAAGGAATGGTATTTTGAATGCCACGATTAGAATATGTTCAATCAAAACATATCTTATTAAAAGATTAGAAAGATGAATTTGAATACATCAATTTAAAGGTACAAGTTTTTACCGTAAATTAATGGCAGTCGGAAAGCTGCTAAATAACGAAAAAGTAAGGAGTAGCCTAACTTTGTATTAAATAGTATCTAAGCCTATGACTTTTTTGAGAATTACACTTGCAGACCTTCGATTTCAAGGTGAATACGAAAACCGTAAACATCGCTAAACTCAAACACAATAACTTGACTTTGTTAGAAAACAAATTATCATCATTACAGAGCATTTAGAGTTCGATGAGTACTGCTGTACTTAACTAGACCTGAATTTGCACCTAAATTTATGAATATTAAGGTAGCTAGTAGTATTCGTCATTTGTTTTATTTATTCTCCTAAAAGAGGACAAAATTAATAGACACTAAGGTATAGCTTGATGGCCAAAACATTCAGTGTTCAACCAGGTCACAAGTACTGTCTGCTTTGGCTTGGACAGCTTGAAGTAGAGTATGCCAAAATGTACGTGGCTTATGAGTTACATAAATACCACTTACTCATTAATTAAATATATACTTTAGTAAAGATATTATCAAAAGATCTCAGAAAAGAAAATTTATCCAAATTCTTGGTAGGTGTTGTCCGTACCACAAAATATAACTTTTGGAGAATAAATTATTTTTATGATAGAAAAAAATCGAGGCCATCTTATAAATACAACTGTTAAGGCTAGAAAACTTTGTTGACCATAAAAATAACTAAAACTCAATTATATTTGTACTGCATAAGCATAGTGTTTGCATTTATGTTGACGATGTACTGTACTGTAATCATCGTAAAACCGGTCGAGTGAAAAAAATGTATTAAAATAAGGACAAATCCTGAGAATGAATTGTTGATTATTGCATACAGCATTCTTTATTTGAATACACTGAAGATTCTATGACACTATTTTGAATAAATGACAAGTATAAAAATAAACAAAGCAGAGCATTAATAGCGCTTAACTCATGTAGACATACAAACTGTAAACATCGTTCTTTTAATTTTGATAGATAATTTGAAATAAACATTCAGCATTAATTCATAATTTTTATTCTTCATTTATTGTTTAAAATGTATTTCCCATATTTAAATTTTTAATGTAGAGGTGATCCCATTGCTACCCCATATACTAGTCTGGAAAATTCATTGTTAAACTTAAAGTAGATATTCGTAGTGCATTTCAACAGAAGTTCTTTCATTCTGCTTACTGGGATCGGTATCTCTATTTTCTTTACTAGCAATTGTTGACATATGTAATCGATAGTTTCAGTCAGAGGGATGTTAGTGAACAAAGATGTTATGTCTAGTGATAATATGGTTTTGCCATTTATATTCATATTTTTAATTGTATCCACAAATTAAAAGACGTCTTTAACACTATGCTTAACCAGTTCTTGATGCAACGGTTCTAATAATTTAACTAACCATTTTGCTGTTGAATGGTATGGTGAGTTTGCCATATCCAGAATCGGGCTGTTAGGTTCGTTAAGCTTGAATGCTACTACTGATTCGTCTCACTCGAAACGGAACGAAGGATCAAGGATTCAGAGACTCGGTAGGCTATTCTGGTCCGTTGTCCCCGACTCAGCTAACTCAATCAAGAAGTCTTGGTAAGACGTAGAAAGTGTATCCTACAGGCAACCAGCAGATACCAGGTCAACCAGGCACACAAATCAAGCGTATTTATACAAATATATATAATCGATATTGTCATATAAATTTTTAAACATTCATCAATAAGTTCGTCAATCGACTGCCATTTAAATATTTAAACGTTTAATCGATAAGTTCGTGTTCGTGAACATGTACCAGCATGGTTGGGAAAAGGAATTACCAGATCGATTAACAGCACTATTCTTTCTCATTTGGTAGATAGTGAACATCATATCAAAATAGAGGAAGGTTTCTGTTTTATATCAAGTTCCAAAATATCTACCTCAAGGAGCTAGATTACGACTGCTTTACATAGCCGAAGCCATCTGGATCAACTCCAGAAAACCAAAGTTATGTATCCGGAAAAAATATATCCAGCCTCTATGTTTACCTTGGTCCACGACTGGGTCACCGAATACCTAGACTGAATATTATCAACCTCTTACCCCCTTCCTTTATGTTATTTTCATTTTTTTGGCTTATTATTATTATTATCATTATTATTGATTACCTCTATCTTAATCTTCACATCCATCATTCCCAATTCGTTTATCGTAATTACCTTGATAACACCCCCCTTATTACATATTATATTCACACAACAATATTATTGTTATTATTATCCTAAATGACAAGATTAAATTCTCCTACTATGCATTTTATTCACACAATTTTTGCATTTTCGATTTCGCTATAATACTATTCTACTTATTGCGACTGAACACTCTACTCCTAATCATTCTGACGTTACATAGGCCGCACAAAGCGTTCATTGTCTAAACGCATCTGGGAACATTCTGACCTTTATTGAATGACCTTTTTAAATTGCAAATAATACAATTTTGAAGTATATATATACCGCAACAGATGCAAATGTGCACCATTTTTAACACATAACATTGTCAAATTTCATTAATACATGCCTTATTTTTGGCCTTTGTAAAATATTATATTTATGGACTTGTAACTGTAGAGCCTGATGATAAAGTTATTGAAAACAATTGTTCGCTCAAATATTCTTCATTTTTGAATGATTTTAACTGCTATTATATAAACCGTGTAAATGAATTTAATTTATAGACAACATACTATGTCCATATCGGTCCAATTTGTATTCAGCCAACTGCTTTTACTAAACCCATTCGACGGCTCAAATTTTTTGTTAGGGTAAAACAAAACAGACAAATTATGTTTTCTCATACAGCTGCAAACAATTTGACAAATTTCACAATGTTCAACTAATTATAATCAATCAGTGTAATCTATTCAAACTGTCACTGTAGAAAATTGCTGTAAACAGGGGATGGACGTATAAGACGAAAACATACCTTTCATGTAGTATGCCTAAAGCATTATAAATATTCTATAACTAAGCAAACAACAGTTATAAGCAAACTATGGTTATTAAATGATTTAAAACGCCTTCTACTAGTTTCTACCTAAGTAGATAACTGATATAGTACTCCACATAGTGAGAATTAAAAATGACTATTAGTATCTGAAATTAATTACTGACTCGTACAATAGACTGAGGGACAAAACATCTACTAACCTATCTCATCCAATCAAGTCCTCTGACAGAATTGTTTTAGGTAAGAGGCGCATGCAAACTTGGTGCATTTTTTATTATAGCAGTATCCACCAAATATCAACTAACCTAGACAACTATGTTGTGTTTGAGAAAATTTTTTAAAACCAACTACCAATCAAACAAACAAATTTAGTATACATGATCTTATATTAATGAAGAGATATGGGCCAAACTGAAGTTTATGGACGAACCAATCAAGTATAAAATAACAGGTCTCGGATTTTGACGCGAAGTTCACTCATCCATTTGACTAAATAGTTTTGGAATGATAGCTGATGTCAGTTCGTGATGAAAATCCTAAATCTAATTCCTAACCTCAACCACCAACTGCCAATCCTAATCCTCACACTGGTTTATAACCTTCATTTGGTCCCATTACCAAGATTTGAAATTACTTCATTTGGTCCGTTGAGGTGGACACTCCCAAGGTCACTTTAGCGTCGCGCAAAGGTCTCATAATTTATAGTCTCACCGAGATAATGCACACTTTTACCGTTAACACATTCCTCACTAAGTTATTATTTGGGAAATATCATTTGCATAAACGTTGGATAAAAGAAGCGAAGTTTGGTGTTACCTCTAAAAAATAACTTTGGTAAATCTCGAATGATTCCAAAGGTTCAGTAACCCTACTAATTGTCTTCCATCAGTGTCATAGCAACTTGAAGCCTACGTTTAGCTACCGAAGTAAAATCCAGAACGCTAATTCTCATGTTCTGGTTTCAGTACCCCTGTTGTTTCGTCAGATCCTAGATAATCCATACATTTCAAGAACATGTGCATGAATTTGTATTGTATAATAAGATAAAATGGTTTCGGTAAACAAGCTTATTGTATTCATAGCATGCCATTTTCTGATAAATTCATATTTGCCTAAATCTGGAGGCATTGAAACTATTTATTTATTTGGACACATAAATATTCGTACAAGTGAGCACCAAATATATATGCGGCATTAAAACTAAAATATTGGAAAATAATGACGTTTCCATCGGGATTAATAAAAAACGCTGGATAACAAGATTAAAATAAGGAAAAACAGCTTATCACAAAGGTCTACTTTTTAAATGAATCAAAAGCTGCATAATCATAGGACTGATAGTGTCGCAGAATCTGGATATGCAAAAATGACCAGAGGTTCCAGTAAGTCTTCTCTACATACAGTGAGATGTCCATAGAACAACCACTAAATAAAGAAATGGGCAATGCCTCGACAGAAATTAGTGGAAACTTTGTGAAGTGCAATGAAGACACATGTGTTTGGAAATTATGAAAAAAGAGAATTGGAACCGATTGCATCAAAAAACTGCTGGCCAACCAAAAAAAACAAACTATCATTTTGATGCATCAGAAGTGGATACTACAAATAAATTTTTCGATATATAAGCGACTGTCCCAGGTAAAACATAAATATATGCTTTCTTCGTAACTTGATCAGTTAGGAATATTACAAGCTCAACAAACTCTGGGAGATCTGACTATTTGAGTACTCTTTAACAAAATCTACAAACGACTTTTTATCAGATAAAATCCAGTTAATCAAAGCTATTTTTAAAGAGAAAATAATCTTACGTGAGTTACATAAAAGTTTATTCTAAATCCTTCTTTGCTTGTGATCCGAGCTAACCCAATACCTTTGCCACAATAGTAATCAGCTTGGTGAATAAGATGAGGATAACCGTTAGCAGTAAAGGGATGTGTGAACACACATTCTATAGTCCATTTTGAAAAGATGCACATACCAGTTCCTATAAGGTTGCTAGGGAATAAATAAGTAACTTCATCGAACACATACCAGTAAAAGTAATTAGAGTACGGATACTTCTCGTCCAAAATGTTTCGAAGTTTATTGTAATCTGATTCCAGCCAAATCTGCCAAAAGCTAGTTCAACGAGTACACCTACCTACCTCCTGAAGTAAAATCACGTCGAAATCCCCAACTGATAACTTCGAGGCAATTGCATTAACACGGTCTTCTTTTCTCACAGTCGAAGATGGGAAAAACACGGCCCTGAAAGGTCAACTAGAGGAATTTTCACAAACCAGCAATTAAATGTTAAAACCTTGAACTTCTCTTCGACCATGTTGTAAATTATAATACCAAGGGGTGTCAATGAAGCTTTACGGCTCGGAGATAAATCTCGACGTTTAGTCTGAAGGAAATGCATAAGAAAAATGTGCTGCTTAGATAAAGAGCATTCTACTATACGATATCGTATTATTGTATTTAAAAGATATATCAAGACAGCATACAATACCCATGAAAAAAAATAAGATGAACCGACTTTTAAACTTTTTAAAACGATGATGATCTAATGGCTAATATTATAGAACCACCCTGCTAAGTAGGAAACCCCTTACAAAGCAGCGAAAATGATTCGAAGATCGCTCCGTTACTGAAGTGTTGCCTTGCCAATCATATAAAGTTTGACCATACGAATATAACCAATATGAATGGATGTTAACATGAAGTGCTTTTAGAACATTTTAAATCACTAGTGCGTAGAACTGCTGGTTTATGATGATCTGTTGCAAATTTTATTGATCTTTGTGGAGCATCATAAGTCTTTTGCACAGTATAATATAGTGAGTCTAGTCACTTGATTCCCAGTGAACGTCTTCATGTTTATAAAGGTCTTTGGATCGACAAATGTCACTTAAAACGTTCTTGTGATTCATTGAATTCTGGAAAAGCAGAAAAATATATGTTGATGTGCAATTTTACTAACTTCAGATTCTTAGATCACGAAGACCACTGAGCACTTACGTGCTTAATGTTTTCCAGTGAGAGTGCTGGATTTTGATCCGAGCTACTCTCAGCAAAATAATCAAAACTGAGATTTACTAATGACGTGTAAATTTCGACAATGAAATCATCCAAAAACGTTATACAGCAAAGTCCCTAAAGATTCTCGAGTGAAGTTTTTCCGCGGAAGAAATGTCATCGTGCAAGGTGTACCGGAAAACATGGACCCTAGTCAAGCAAACTCTGACATTCGGGAATGGAAATTCATCAAACAGTTCTTGAGGCTCAAAAACATACTGACTCAGCATGTGACGAGACTAGCCAAGAAGGACGGGGATCCTAGACCCCGACTAATGAGAATAACTTTCCCATCCTCCCATATGGCGGCTGCGGCTTTGGAAGCATTTCGTGCCAACAGACGTCGGTTGCCAACTGGAATCCACATGCACCCGGACAAGCCATGTGACGCCAGGATCAAGCACAAAGGCAAGCTGGAGCTGACCATTCCAATTGTGGACTGCCTTGAAGATAAAAAAAAACGTGTAATGGACAGGACCTATCAATTCGGCAAACCTTATGTAGGTGGGCTTCCTGTCCACTCACGTAAGGCTCACACAGACAAACAGGAAGAAGCTCACGCGTTTCAAATTGAAAGCATTAACTGCTTATACATGAACGCCGCGAGTCTACCAAATAAAATGGATGAGCTACGTGAACTTTAACAACGCTAATAAGGTTCATCTGATAGGAATATCCGAAACTTGGATATCTCAGTTTTCGGACCAGGAGCTAGCGATACCTGGGATGTCTCTGTTTCGCAACGACAGAAAAACAGGAATTGGGGTGGAGTAGCCATATACATACGATCTTGCTTGGAGGTACACCAAGTTCACAATCATGAGTTTAATGATCTTGAGAAATCCACATGGTGCCCTGTAAGATTATCTACTACTTCGAGGTGTCTAGTCGGAGTCATATATAGGAAGACCATTGCCGACATCGAGTATGACAGTCGTATGCTGGAAGGACTATCCCGCTCCACGCGTCTCGGCTTCACTCATATCCTGATTCTAGGGGACATCAATCTCCCTAGAGTCAACTTTGCGGAACATACGTATATTGGAGGTGAAAATTCAATTGAAGCTCGATGCTTCAACCTCATTGAGGATTTGGGATTATACGAAAATGTGAAGTCGGCAACTCGTTGGAGGAACAGTCAGACACCTTCGTGCTTAGACTGTGTATTTACAAACGAAGAATTTCTAGTAGGCAACCTCTCAATTATGACTCCCCTGGGTAAAAGCGATCACGCCGTTAAAGCCTTCAGTTTTGTCAACAAAACTTAGCTAAGGTATACCAACAACAACAGCCGCTGAAATTTCAAACGGTTGAATGTGTCAGCTCTACAGGACTATCTACAACCGATGGATTGGGATGTTCACCCTCAAATTGATGTGGATGCTCATTGGGACTTCTTACCACACACGCTCTTATGTGCTACAAAGCAGTCAGTTCTTCAAACAATCCCCAAAAGCCACAAGCAATCTACAATCATCAAAAACCGCACTCTTCATTTGTTAAGCCGTAAAAGGCACTGCTGGGCAGAATACAAACGAACCGGCAACAACGGCGAGTACAGGCAATACAAACATATGAGGAACATATGCACAAAGGCTATAAGAGAAGACAGGCTTCAGTACCAGTTAAAGTTCATGGATAAATTTATTTCCAATCCGAAAAGCTTATTCCGTTACGCAGCCTCTCTTCGTCAAGCCAAAACTGGAGTTTCTCAACTGCTAGGTCCTAACGACCCGACCGATAATGACGGTGACACCGCTAACCTTCTGGCTGAGCAATACTGCCGGACATTTCAACCGTCCCACACCAACTATACTGATGACGGCTCCATCTGCAACTGCACAGGGCTTTCCGTAGTGAAACTGAGCGCTGACTTGGTTTTCCGAAAACTGCAGCACCTGAGAACAGACACTTCTGATCCAGATATGGTCTATTCTGCTATACTGTGGGAAGCAGCTTCAATCCTGGCTACACCACTTAGGGTGATGTTCTCACACTCGCTAAGCCGAGGCAAACTACCGGAAATTGAAAGCTGGCTCAGATCCCACCAATTTTCGAAAGAGGTTGACGCAACGAACTTTTAAGTTACCGACCAGTGGCTCTTCTCTCTATACCTTCTAAGATCATGGAGTCCCTGGTATACGACGGTATACACAACTATCTACTGTCCTTAAACTTCTTCTCACCCCAACAGCATGGTTTCAGGAAGGGTTACTCCTGTATGACAAACCTGCTGACTGCTGTGGACAGATGGACAAGCATCGTTGATCGCAAGGGGAAGGTGGACATCATTTACCTTGATTTCTCTAAAGCTTTTGATAGGGTTAACCACATCTGTCTTATTAACAAACTAAAACAATCGGGTATCAAACCTACTTTAATTGACTGGCTCAGTTCATATCTGACAAATCGACATTTTAAGGTCAGGGTCAACTTCAATTTCTCACAGGCTATGGAATGTCCTAGTGGGGTTCCCCAGGGCTCAGTACTGGAAACTCTTCTCTTATTCATTTATATAAATGATCTTCCTCAACAGCTATCGTCAGACATATTGCTCTTTGCCGATGACGTGAAACTTTGGAGAGAGATACTCAACCAAGAGGACATACAGGCACTTCAGGAGGAACTGACTCGACTTCAAAGTTGGGCAGACGATAACGGACTTGCCTTTAACACTTCAGAGTGTAAAGTAGTCCATCTGCGACACGTCGCAGATTACAGTTACAACTTAGGAAACTCCTCTCTAGTAGTATTCCGAGTCGATAAAGATTTAAGAGTTCTGGTGCCCTATGACTTAAAGTCTCACGCCAACTGTGACAAATAGTATTTCCTCCTACACTCCAAAAGGATAAGGACACTCTGGAGCGTATCCAACGACGAGCCACGAAATCAGTTCGGGGACTCAAATTGTAACCACACGAAGAGTGCCTCCAATCACTCGACCTCTACCCATCACAGTATAGGCGTCTTAGAGGTGACCTTCTGATGGCTTACAGTATCCTTAACACTTCTGGACATCCTCTTAAACACCTACTTAAGCTTAGTCTCAACACTAACCTAAGGGGTAACACCCAGAAATTAGAGATACAACATAGTAGAACGGACTGTAGACACAACTTCTACTCCTTAAGAGTTGTCAAATGCTGGAATGCGCTGCCGGCTGAGCTAGTGCAAGCGCCTTCCCAGGAGTGCTTTAAGAGGAGACTTGATCTATTCTTAAGGACTAATGATAGTATCTTACTATGATTTACCAATTTCTTTTCTTCTCTTTTATCGTTAATATACCTAGGTTCTCGCCTTTAAATATTGGTGATCAACTGCTATTAGACACGGAAGCCTGTTAAGCGAAAGCTTCTTCTATTCCATCCACAACCATTTGAACCATTTGAACCATTATAGTAGTGCCACGAGACAATCTCATTTTAAAATCGCTTACTAAATGGCAATACAAGAATGCGCTTGTTTATTTGCGCGTAATACTTCAAAGAGACTGTGTTGAAATGAAAAATTTAGTCCATCGACATGAATTGTGGGATCTCACATTATAGAATGACTAAGACCTGTTATCTCATGTATCATATCGGCAAACCTCAAAGACCAAGTCGTACCTGATTTGATCAGCTCTTAAGCAGCTAAACTTGTTACACCAGTCCGTTCGTCTTTCATGATTCCATTGACCCTGATCCATCTTATGGACCTATAGGAAGACGTTTGTCCACTTTCTTCATTACATCTATCATGTCCAGCTATTGACACATTTGTTAGCCGCAAGGTTTTTCTACTAGCAAAACGAGTATAAAAAACAGAGAAATTGTTGATATAAGGTCTGGGTTGGTATTATTTACATTTATTTTTTGGCACTAAAATAATAGACCTAATCCTCAAATCATAGATTTATTGCGATTTGATTGCCTCATCTGTAAGACCTCATGTGGAAGTCACATAATTGTCTATACTGACTCGTCCTACGTGACAGCCAGCAGTATGAGGTTTAACACTTTTGAAGGACACATTTGGGCGTGGGACGGGATAATATGTTTGGTATGAAAGTGAATAAGTTCCACAGAGTGAGTGAGCCTCCATCACAGAGCCATATCATAGAGACTAAATGTTTCGTGTTCACTGCTTCTGACCTCTAAATGTTAAGTGTTGAATGTGTGTTGTGCTTCAAGGATCGTGTAGTTTCAGAACTAAAAAATCCATCAGACCAAATTTATTCTATCTGTTGTTGTGTTTCACAGATTCAGAGGCTCCGCCCAC